TGAAAACAACAGCCCTAGCCAGTTTGGCTCAGTGGATAGAGTGTTGGCCTGAAGACTGAAGAGTCCCAGGTTGGACTCCAATTCCAGTCAAGGGCACATTCCTGGGTTTCAGACTTGATCCCCAGTAGGGGGTGTGCAGGAGACAGCCAATCAATGATTCTCACTCATCATTGATGTTTCTATCTCTCTCTCCCTCTCCCTTCCTCTCTGAAATCAATAAAAATATTTAAAAAAAAAAAAAAGGAACTATGGGCTGTAAAAACCAGTGTGGATTGGGGTCAGTGACACAGAGGATGCTAGAGACCCAGTTGTTCCTCTTAAAAAGCCGACACCACAAACTGAACTTACAAGGTCCTACTTCCTCTGAGCTCTAGCACCAGGGCAAGGCTCTGCAGAACACAGACACATAGGAGGAGAAACTAGATTGTCTGGCATTGGGGCAGGAATTCAGGGGCAGCTTTCTCCCAGACAGAAGTGCTCAAAGGGATGGATCATTGTTCCTATGCTCAGACCTCCCCAGTCACAGGGCTGACTGGCAGCCATTTCTGTTTGCTCTGCCCTAGTTATTCCCTAAGACCCCACCTCACCCAATTTACAATACCACCCAAGCTGTGTGCAGCAGTTTTTGCATATGAATGGCCTGTCCTTGCTCAGGCTAAAATCTCTCAAACAAGCTGTAGCTGGGTCAGGGCGCCCCAAACCTATCAATAAAAGGCCCAAGACCCGGCACCAGCACCAGCCTGCCTTGCTTCATAGCTGGGCCTCATCTGGGTACTTTCAAACTTTATACAAAGAGGAGGAATCTGCAGGTCTTTCTGTAGCTCCTGCTAGGTGACCCCAGGCAGTAGCTGACTTTGCACCTCTCTGGAGACCCAAGAGCCAGTGTACCTAGTGGTCAGTGTCAGACTATACCAGATTACAATTCTACCTATCCACAAGTGACACACTCAAGGGGCAGACTCAGTGAGCACTAAAGCCCCACTGAAGCAAGTCCTGCTCCATAAAGGTGTCTCCTGCACAGCAGCTCTCCCACTGTACTTGCAGCTGGTCCTCACAGCCAATTGGCCTGGAGCTCAATTTCTCTCAGTGACACCAACAGCGATCAAGTCTCAACTACAAGACTGTACACACAGTCCACACAGGGGCGCACATAGAACTCCCAGCTCAGGTGACTGGGGAGGCTAAACCACTGGGCCCTATAGAACACCCACTACACAAGGCCACTCTACCAACTCAAGAAGACATAGCAGCTCTACCCAACATATAGAAACAAACACAGGAAGCAGCCAAAATGCAGAGACAAAGAAACATGCTACAAATGAAATAAATGGAAGAAAGAAAACTACTGGATATAGAGTTCAAAACCACAGTTATAAGGTTACTCAAGAATCTTCTAAAAAAAAAGAATCTTCTAGAAACCTCCAAAAAAATGGAAAAGGGCCAAGTAATTAAGCATACACGCACTGAAATAAAGAATATCATACAGGGATTCAACAGTATATTAGAGGAGTCTCAGAATCAAATCAACGATTTGAAATATGAGGAAGCAAAAAACACCCAACCAGAAGAGCAAAAAGAAAAATGAATCCAAAAATATGAAGATAGTGTAAGGAGCCTGTGGGACAACTTCAAGCATACAAACATTCACATTATGGGGGGTGTCAGAAGTAGAGAAAGAGAGCAAGATATTGAAAACCTATTTATGTTAAAGATAAAGAGAGAATCTTAAAAGCAGCAAGAGAAAAACAGTTAGTTACCTACAAGGGAGTACCCATACGACTGTCAGCTGATTTCTCAACAGAAACTATGCAGGCCAGAGAGAGTGGCAAGAAATATTCCAAGTGATAAACAGCAAGGACCTACAACCAACATTACTCTACCCAGCAAAGCTATCATTTAGAATTGAAGGTCAAATAAAGAGCTTCACAGACAAGAAAAGGAGTTCATCACCACCAAACCAGCATTACATGAAATGTTAAAGGATATTTTTTAAGAAGAGGATGAAGAAAAAGAAAAAGATAAAAAATATGAACAAGCCCTATCCAGTTTGGCTTAATGGCTAGAGTGTTGGCCTTCGGACTGAAGGGTTCTAGGTTTGATTACAGTCAAGGGCACATGCCCGGGTTGCAGGATCAATCCTCAGTGGGGGGTGTGCCGGAAGCAGCTGATTGATGATTCTTGCTCATCACTGATGGTTCAATTTCTCTCTCCCTTCGCCTTTCTGAAATCTATAAAAATATATTTTAAAAAAATATGTGAACAACAAAATGGCAACAATTACATACCTACCAACAACTGAATCTAAAATCAAAATAAAAGAATAAGAAATCTAATGAACAGAATAAACTGGTGAATAACATAGAATCAGAGGCATGGAAATGGAACAGACTGATGATTCTCAGTTGGAAGGGGGTGGGGGAGGCGGGAAGAGATTAAACAAAGATTTTATATGCATATATGCATTACCTATAGACACAGACAATAGGGAGGCAAAGGCCTGGGGCAGGGCGGAAACTGGGTGGAGGGAGCATTGGGGGTAAAAAAGAGGAACATCTGTAATAATCTCAACAATAAAGATTTTAAAAAAGAATTTGGAGGGACAGTGTTCAAAGGACAGTATGATATAAATTCAGTATCTGGCATCACTGGTTTTCATAGCTTCATGCATGTTAAACCTGGTGTGTGTTTTTTAACTGATTTTGAGTAGAGGGACACATTGATTTGTTGTTTCACTTATTTATGCATTTATTGTTCATTCTTTTTTTATATCCTATTAAGAGTTTATTAAGAAATTTTGTTTCACAGGCCATACAGAAATAAAAGGACTATGGACAGGCTTTCAGGAAACAGGCATGGAGCTGAGGAGGGTCAAGATGAGTCTAGGGCAGCCGTGGGCAAACTATGGACCACGGGCCAGATCCGGCCGTTTGAAATGAATAAAACTATTGAAAAAGACCGTACCCTTTTATGTAAAGATGTTTACTTTGAATTTATATTAGTTCACACAAACACTCCATCCATGCTTTTGTTCCGGCCCTCCGGTCCAGTTTAAGAACCCATTGTGGCCCTCGAGTCAAAAAGTTTGCCCACCCCTGGTCTAGGGCCTTGGTGGGTACATTCCTGGGGGAGGGGGCCGCATTCCTGGAAGGGACATGCCCACTGGAGTTCCTCATCCAGGGGGTATCCCTATTGGCAAACCCATGGGAGGCCTCATATGGGAGGCCTCATACCAGGAGGTGGGCCCATCATGCCTGGAGGGGGTGCCCCTCGGCCCATAGGTGGGGGCCCATATGTGGGTACTGGGTTGGGGCCCCTGCAATACTAGCTGTGGCAGCAGCTGCAACAGTGCCTCTTGCTTGTGGAGTCATCACCTGTTGAGATGGTCCACCAACCCCATGAACTGGCCCAGAAAGTCCTGCAGGGGCCTGAGGCATGGAAACACCAGCTGGGATTCCTCTGCCAGCAGCTCTGCTGATCCGGCCTCCAGCAGCTCCAGCAAGTGGCACTCAGGGCAATGCGAGTGTCTTTGGGAGGAGGTCCCTCTACTGTCATTGAGACCAGGTTCTCCCCTTGAAGTAGCACCAGCCTGAGGACTCACTTCTCTTCTCTTTCAGCTTGTTTTGAGTTTTTTGGCTTGATCTTCCTGAATTCATCACAATCACATAGGATCAAATTCATATGCTTGTCGAAAGCCTTGAAGGTGCCAATGAAGATCCGACCATCTTGCAGGATGCACCTCATCCTGTAGTCGATGTGCGGCAGCATCTTGCTGCTCTTGCCCACAGTCATGGTGGCGGTTCTGATGGCTCTGATTCCGCTGGATTCACCTGTGCGGAGGCCTGGCCCTCCGCACGCCTGCTTCCCGCCACGACTACCAGCATTGGTTGACTCTTGTATGTGCCCTGACTAGGAATGGGATCAAATCCACAGCCTTGGCACATCAGGATGCTGCTCCAACCAACTGAGTTACCTGGCCAGGGCCTAAACCTGGTATTTTTATTGATATAGTTGGTTTTTTCTTAAAGAGCCTACCCGGTGTGGCTCAGTGGTTGAGCATTGACCCATGAACCAAAATGTCACCCGTTTGATTCCTGGCTGGGGCACATGCCTGGGGTTTCAAGCTCAATCCCCAGTAAGGGGTGTGCAGGAGGCAGTTGATGGATGTTTCTATTTCACTATCCCTCTCCCTTCCTCTTCTCTAAAAGAATCAACAAAACATATATTTTTAAAATAAGTTGGGGAGACAAACATTCAGACAATAGAACCATGGCTCCTGCACTAACTATGATAGTGTTACATGTAATAAACACCAATTATTCAAGAAAAATTATCTTACATATAATAATATTACATGCAATAAACATTAATATTTCAAGAATAAAAGGATTTTAAGTATAATAATATTATCAAAACTGTACTCACAGCCCTAGCCGGCTTGGCTCAGTGGATAGAGCGTCAGCCTGCGGACCGATGGGTCCCAGGTTCGATGCTGGCCAAGGGCACATGCCTGGGTTGCAGGCTCGATCCCCAGTACGGGGTGTGCAGGAGGCAGCCGATCAATGATTCTCTCATCATTGATGTTTCTATCTCTCTCTCCTTCTCCCTTCCTCTCTGAAATCAATAAAAAGACATATATTTTTAAAAAAAAAACTGTACTCACATAGTATGATACCACAAAAGTTGTAGGAAATATTAAAATTCTGCAAATAACAGGATTACTTCTATGATATTCTAGAATATCCACCCCCACTCTATTTTTTAAAATATATTTTATTGATTTTTTTTACAGAGAGGAAGGGAGAAGACTAGAGAGTTAGAAACATCGATGAGAAAGAAACATTGATCAGCTGCCTCCTGCACACCCCCTACTGGGGATGTGCTGGCAACCAAGGTACATGCCCTTGACTGGAATTGAACCTGGGAACCTTCAATCCGCAGGTCTATGCTCTATCCACTGAGCCAAACCAGTTAGGGCTCTCTGGCTCTATTTTTTATTTTTATTTTTTTCAAGTTTCAGTTATTTTTAGTTAAAGAAAAGCAGCCTTTTCCAAGGGCAACAAAGTGAACTGAACGTCAGGAGGAAGCAGGGTGTGGGCCTCTCATAAGCTCTTGTTCCAAAACCTGGACTTGAGGAAAGAGGCCTCCTGGGAACTCAGGGGAACTGGCCAGCAGAGGGATGCCTTTGGTGGGTGGGTGGAGATGCAGCCCACACTGGTCACTGGATTGGTCTGCATGGGCTCTAAGGTGATTTCCACCTGCCAGTTGGTTGACATGATTAACACTATTATTCTTGGGGGGCATTAAATTAAGGAATGATGCGTGGAGCCAAGAGAGTGGCTTATTCAGTTGGATTCTGGATCACAATCAGGAAGTAGTCTTTATCTGGTGCAACCATAATTTCATTTTTCTTAGGGCGAATTCGAAGGAAAGTGAGGTCATTCTGGGGGTCAATTTCACGCACGGTGCTCCGGGCCTTCAAGATGAAGTTGTGCATGAGGTTGGCATACTGTGTGGTGGTGGGGTTGTCCATAGTACTCTTAATAGGAATGCCTTCTGTGTTCACCACAATGATTCCCTGCACTCCCTTCTGGCTCTGAAGTCGCTTCAGTGTCTCCTCCACTTCTGCCATTTCGGACGGATCGGGTAGCTCCGTGTCATCAACACTGCCCAGGCCCGCTGCATTTCTGCCTTTCTGGCTCTATTTTTGTTCATCAGTTTACATTGTTCATTATATTCCACAAATGAGTGAGCTTGTATGATATTTATCTTTCTCCAATTGGCTTATTTCACTTAGCATGAGGCTTTTAAGGTCTATTTTGTTGGATATGAGTATTGCTACTCCAACTTTTTTTCTTTTCCATTTGTATGGAAAAGAAATTTTTTCCATCCCTTCACTTTCATCCTGTGTGTGTCTTTTGTTTTGAGGTGGATCTCTTGTATATAGTTGGGTCATGTTTTTGTATCCATTCAGCTACTCTACACCTTTTGATTGGAGCATTTAATATATTTACATTTAGGGTTATTATTGAGTACTTATTTATAGCCATGTTAATTCTGTTTGGCTAGGTTTCTCTCTCTGTTTTGTCTTCTTAGCAATCCCTTACAGCAATCCCTTTATCATTTCTTGTAATGCAGGCTTGGTGGTAATGAACTTCTTTAGTCTTTTTTTTGTCTGAGAAGCTCTTTATTTGACTGTCTATTTTGAATGATAGCCTTGCTGGATATAGTAATCTTGGTCTCAGATCCTTGCTTTCCATTATCTTGAGTACTTCATGCCATTCCCTTCTGGCCTGTAGAGTTTCTGATGAGAAATCAGGTGTCAGCCTTATGGGGACTCCTTTGTAGGTAACAGTTTTCTTTTCTCTTGCTGCCTTTAAAATTCTCTCTTTAATTTTTGGCATTTTAATTATGGTGTGTCCGGGCATGGGTCTGTTTAGGGTTCTTCTTGTTTGGGGTTCTCTGTGCCTCATGAACTTGTGTGACTTTTTTTTTCCAGGTTAGGAAAGTTTTCTACCATATTTCTTCAAACACCTTCTCTGTTCCTTTTTCCCTTTCTGCCTCTTCTGGCACACCTACTATTCTAATATTGTTACATTTCACATTGTCCCATGGTTCCCTTAAGCTTTCTTCCTGTTTCTTAATTGTTTTTTCTTTTTGGTTCTCTAATTGAGTGATATTTTCAACTCTGTCTTCTAATTCACTGATTTGATCCTCAGCTTCCCCTAATCTGTGTATTCCTTCCAATGTGTTCTTTATTTGTGTTATGTCATTCTTTATTTCAGACTGTTCTTTTTTCATAGTTACTATATCTTTTTTCATACTGTTGAACATTTTTGCCAATCATTACTCTAAACTCTGTTTCAGATAAATTTCTTATCTCTGCTTCATTTATGTCTTTTCTGGAGAATTCTCTAATTCTTTCATATGGGAGTTGTTTCTTTTTTTAAATATATTTTATTGATTTTTTTACAGAGAGGAAGGGAGAAGGATAGCAAAATACCACATGCGGGCATGCATGCACAGTGCTATTGAAACTTACTGGCCCATGCTCAGAAGTCGGTATTTTGTGGAAGAGCCACACTCAAAGGGCCAAAGAGCTGCATGTGGCTCGAGAGCTGCAGTTTGCTGACCACTGTCTTAAGTGGTCTCAGGGTAAGGTGTTTTCCAATAGGGTGTGTCAACTGTCTTCCCCCCAGGCAAGGCAGATGTCTATGTGGGAAAGATGTCCTCTGTGTGAGGGAGTGACTCAGCCCAGGAAACTTGGGGTATCTGCCTTCTGAGTTCTATCCCCCAAGTCCCCAGTCCTGGGTTCTGTTCTCACAGCTCCAGTCCACTTCACCCTCCCTCTGCCAGAGCACAAGGTGGATGACTCTACAGGGAATTTTTGTGTGTTGGTCCTTTAAGAGGGTGCCTGAACTTCCAGCTGCCACCTCTGGCAGACAGCACCCCACTGCTTTTCACAGCTAGCTGTTATGAGGGTACCCTCCTCAGTTTGGTGCTCTCTGCTGGGGAGCCCAGCTTTGGGATTAGGTCCCAGGGTTCTCAGTGGCATCCCTCCCCTTCGGCTGAGATATCTCTCCGGGACTTCAGTTGCCGTCTGTGGGTGCCTGGCCAGCCCTTTCACACCTCTGTTCCTCCTACCAGTCTCTATGTGGTCTCCACCTTTGGTCCTTGGGTATCAGGGTTCTCTCCTGTGAGTTTTCCGTTGATTATTTAGGAAGCCTTTCCATATTTCAGTTGTAATTCCAACTTGTTCCTGGGAGCATGTCCATGCAGCATCCTCCTACTCTGCCACCATTTTTTTAAAATTCACTCTTAAAAATGTCTAGCACAGTGTCTTGCACTTGTAAGTTAGTCTAGTAAATATTTATAGAATGAAAGTTTGTTCTACCCTGGTGCAGTTTCTTAATGATGGTGGTGGTGGTAATGATGATGATTGCTCTTAACAGCATAGATCTTGATTTTATTTTCTGAAAGTTTCTGTTTATTCAGCACCTCAGACCATGGGCTCCCTTCCTTCTTCCTCTGCCCCCAACAACTCTTCCAGTCTCACCACCATCTGTCCTGCTTCCTTTCCACATTTTTCAACCACCCACATACTGGCTCCCATGGGTACTCCCCATGGCTCTCTGGCTTTTTGCATATTTTTTTAATCTTCACCCCAGGATATTTTTTTAATATGTTTTATTTATTTATTTTTAGAGAAAGGAAGGGCAAGGGATAGAGAGACAGAGACATTGATGAGAGAGGAACAACATCGATAGATCAGCTGCCTCTTGCACGCCCCCTCCTCACCCCACATCCCTAACTGGGGATCCAGCCTGAAACCCAGGCATGTGTCCTGACCGGGAATCTAACCAGCGACCTTTTGGTTCCTGGGTTGACACTCAGCCTCTGAGCCACACCAGCCGGGCCACCCCAGGATATTTTTCCATTAATTTATAGACAGAATGGAAGGGAGAGAGGAGGGGAAGAGAGAGAGACAGACAAAGATTGATTGGTTGCCTCCCTTACAAGCCCTGACCCTGACAGGGATGGAGCCTGCAACCAAAGTATGTGCCCTTGACTGGGAACAGGACCCGTGACCTTTAGGTGTGTGGGCCAACAGTCTACCACTGAGTAAAACGAGCTAGTGCTGGCTTTTTAATATAGGTATCTGACCTCTCTTTTTATTTTATTTTATTGACCTCTCTTTCCAATTAGATTGAAATCTCCCTGAAGCTAAAGTGAAGTCTTTAAGAGTCCCAGGCATATCATATGCCAAGTATCCAGCATAGAGAACACAGGCAAGCTATCTACTAAAAGCTCCATAATCACTTTTAGGGCTTAAATAATTTTAATTTCCCCAACCTCTTTGCCCTTCTTCCCTTTGCTCAACATCCTGCTCCCCCACATTCAGGATTCTGTTTCACCCCTCATTAATCCCAAGGGCTGCTGTAGCGACCAGGGAGAGATAGGGCATGGGACCAAGTGGAAGGGCCTTTTTATGACCAACTCTATGGCTTCAGGCCTTGCTGAGGTCCCAGTTTTGAACACATCAACATAAAACTGTTTTGTATCATTTGTAAAGGGGTGAGAGTAGCAAGGATCCAAGTGTATGTTCTATCCAAAAGCAGATCACCTAGGTTCAAACCTTTGTTTCAGTATTTACTAGGACTAGGTCCATGATGTTGGGCAAAATACTTAACCTTTCTGTACCCGGAGTTTCCTTATGTGTAAAATGGGAGTAACAATAGTATCATACCTCACAAGATTGTTGAGAGAAATAAAAGAGCAAACATTTGAAAAGTGCTTAGATTTGTACCTGAAATGTGAAAAAAAAAAAAACGCTCAAAAGGTATTTGCTATTGGTATTGTTTATTAATACTACCAACAGTGCCACATAACATCGGTAGCCTCAAGCCCACATAAATTAGAAATACCTCCTGTGACTAATAATAATTACGAACACTTCCTCTATGCTCACCTCGAATAATCTCCCTAAAGGATTGACAACATCCTCACGAGGGAGATGCACTATTATCCCCATTTTCAACCGGGAGGTTAAGTAATTTTCTCCAGATCACCAGACCAGCAAGTGGGAAAGGCACGTTTATTCCTTTATTTACCATTTATTGAGTCCTCACGGTGTCGAAGCAGGACAGAAGCCCCGGGGGACAAAGGTAAACAGGAAGTTTCCGTTTCCAGAGAAGAGGCGGGGCGGGGGCGGGGGCGGCGAGTAAACAAATAGTCACCGCGCCGCGCGGTAATGTCTGTAATAGAGGCGCACTCCCCCACCCAGGGCCGCGGGGCAAATCCCTCGGACAAGGCAAGTCCTCAGACTGAAAGGGCCCAAAGGAAAGAAGGACGCGGCAGCTCCAGAATCAGCAGTTGTCTGTGGACAAACGCGTCCTGAAACGAGCGTGTCACACCCAAAGGGGTAAACCAAGCCGCGTCGAGGTCCGAGCCCGAGCGCTCGGG